GAACAATGAATACAAACTACTTGTTGACCTACTCTTGAGAAGTACCTACCATGACCAGTGTTGACATTTTTGAAGGAAAAGAAACCTTTCAATTAAAACCACCATGAACAGTTAGGAGAAAATTACTTTGTAGCACACCCAAATATTTTTATTACTTCAAACTCTGAGAATATTGAGGTTAGAACAGCAGCTTACTCTAGAACATACTAACTAAAACATCAAGGTAAAGACTGCCATTTTTTTAAAGAAACTAATGTTTATTGATTGTAAATTTTGTAATTGAAAGCATAAAAATGATTTAATTTGTGATAAAAACCTAGATTATGAGAACAGTATCAAAGAACTGATCGCCAGAAGAAGAAGCAAATTGAGTAGGTATAATCAAAATATGTTAATTGTCATTCATTTGGTGGTAACATAGAGGTATACAGAATAGCAATAGTGTTAGTAAGAAATTCTTACATATAAAATGTTATAAGTGTTGCAGTACTACCAGGACCTGGTGCAGATGTGATCTGGGGGAACAGAAATGATTTGAATGATGTAATAGAAGAAAACATTGATGAATGAAAACAAAAGAACACTCCAGTCATGAGTGAGAATAAGAGTATGAAAGATATCACTCTAAACCCCACATCCAGTGTAATAGTAGTAACAACAGAGAAATGTTTGAGAGAGTGCAAGATGGGTAAAAGAGCTGATTGTAACTAAAAGGCCAAAAGAGAAACAAGTATGAAAGAGAAACCACAGGAAAGACAGAGAAAAATGTATAGTAAGCGGAAAAAGGTGAGAGGGATATAAAAAAGGAATAAGAGTGACAATGGTAACAAAACTCAACCAAGAATAAAAAGTAAGACGTGCAAAATAGAAAAGTGTGTGTGTGTAGAGAAACAACAAGGGTAACTGAAAACATGTGAAAGAAGGAACCAAAAAACAATGTACATCTGTGTCAAATAAATAATTTTATTAGCTGTGTCTGCTTTAAGAAATCTTGTAGTTTGTTGAAACCTGAAACAAAAAAACAAACAAATGCAAATTGTATTTTAATACAAATTTATGATAAAATCCAAAAAAGGGGAAAACATTCTGACAAAAACAAAAACATCAGAAGATAACGTCATACTACTGGATTTGGCTGATGTAATGCATCTTATTGATTATGTTGCAGATTCCTCTGATAACAGTCCAAACAAAGAATATAGAGCTATTCTGTACTATCCACCTTATCCATATTTTAAAACTCTTTGTGAACTGTATGTCATATTCACAAAAGTCTCTATAATTCACAACTCTTTCTGATTATAAAAAGTTGTAACATTCTCAACAGTGTTACACTACTTGCATTTCTATTGCACAAATTATTGCTTTTACAAATGGTATATTGTAAACACTTTCCTCATTCTGTGAGCTCAAGTCTTTATTGTAGATGATAGTAATTACATAATGTTAATCTGTTGTGTATGTCGTTTGCCATAAAATATACACAAAACCTTAGTATTATGGGATAGATATTATTACAGCAAGGATTACATATATCTTAAACATTAGAACTCATTTCCAACGCATTACCATGTTTATAAAAGTGGACCGTGCATTATCATAATATAGGAAGAGATATAATTGAGTTAGTTGGGCAATATTGAGTGTATTGGAATTAATTTATTTCCCATAGATGATATTTGTATCCATACAAGAGAGAGTTACCTGAACATCTTGAAACATTACGCAAAGTGTTTGATAATATTAACTATTTCAGGACCACATTTTTGTCTGGGGTTTGGACAGCATTAATTTTGAGCAGAATTTTTTTACTGCAACACAACAAAGCTAAAACTTTCCTGAAGAAAAGATATTGGCTGTATCGGGACATATAATATATCAAATTAAACATAAATGAGTGCAGAATAAATCTAAGCTTTTTAAATGTCAGTATTGCAACAAAATGTCATTAAAATCAGACAACATTCAAGGATGTTAGGCACATATGAAAATTATTGACATAAAAAATGTTGTGCTTACCTTACTTTTTTACTGTTTAGCAACACTGCTATCCAATTCTGAGAATGCACATGCCTTCTCTGTTCAATTCTGTATCAGCTAGTCTTTATTTGAAACATTTTATTGAAATACTTAGGATGTTAAGATCATTTTTGTATGACGTCAAATTTCACAACAACTGAAAATCTGGAAAACAGCTAATCGAAACATTGATCCGATTGAAATACTTTGCTAAATTTTCATATCCTAAACTAAATTATTGCCAATAGGTTTGTCACTTAGGTATCAGTCATAATATCAAGACTGTTGTCACCATCTGGCTGATATTCATCAATGATAGAGCAGTATGAACAGTTCTAGACCTTTCCCCTTATCATTTAATATAGAACATCACGTAAAAATTGTGTCCCATCTAAATAATGTTTTTTTTTATTAAGATAATAATGCACCGACCATGATAAACTTTGCACACAAAAAAGTACTTTCTGTTATTAATCCTAGTTGTTTAAAAACGTGTTCATAAAAGTTCATTTTCCCCACAAACAGAATAAAATTAGAGTGTCTCTATCACTTCTTTCTTTTTCAAGTATCCAGAAACCATGAGTTGTTTAACCCTTTGGCCTTGATTCCATGATAAGTACCGTAATTCTGGAAAAATCTGGCTTTTCTGCCTATCTCCGGGCGTGAACCCGGACCACAAGAAGTCAGCTTTAACCAACTACGATAACGAGCTGGGTGTGTCTCTATCATACGCCAAAATTAGAGAACCACTGGGTGTGTCTTTATCATATGCCAAAATACTAGTGATTTATTAATTAGGGATACATTATTTTTCCACCAGTATACTGGCGATACATCTTTAAAGAATTATTTAAAAAAAAACACTTATCTTATAGGAAACCTATCAAAATCCTAATACAGACGCATACAATTTTTAGGACATGTCATGTTTGAAAGAAACATACAGACGAGAACATTGTTTCAAAAATTCTGAAAATTAAAAGACCCAAGACAAAGAAGGAATTACAGTCATTGTTTGGTTTAGTAAATTATTATGAGAAATGTATTCGTAACATAGCTGGTCTAACAGCACCATTATCTAAATTTCTAAAAAAATACAAATTTAGAAAGAGTGATTGGGGAGTCAGTCATGACACCATTTTGAATAATATTAAGTCTCTTTTTGCAATACCACCAATTTTAAGACAGCCTGATTTTAGCAGACAATTTTTTTACAAACAAACACAGGTAGTCATGCTTTAACTGCTATGCCAGTTCTTTATCTGTTACAAAAATTAAGATCTACACAACAGAAATACAGCATATTTGAAAAAGAGCTTTAGCTTTATTGATAAGCCTTAAGAGATTCCAGAAATACCTACTTGGAAAAAAATTTATTATTCTCACAAACAATTTAGGACTCACACTATTGCTGACTATGGATGCTAGGAGCAATGCAAGAGCTTATAGATGGACACTAGTAATATCCCAAATTCTAATTTAGAATTAAGCACACAAAAGGCGTGGATAATTACTTGACAGATTTGATGTTTAGATTGTAAACAAATGATGTAACAAAAACAGTAATCAGAAGTTGCTTGGTCATATTTATTCTATAATTTGAAAATTAATGTGGAATGAATATTATGAATGTTTAGAGTATATATATGGAGATGATTGATCAATTGTCTTATGTTTTCATAAAAATTTGTAACTAACATAACAGATAGTACAATGACTTTAGTGACAGATGGTGTCAAGAAATGAAATTCATGATTTTAGATAAAATGGTAAGGAGAATGAATTATACTATGATGACAAAGTGATTATAATAGTAATTTTGTTATAGTGGTAATTATTATAACTGTAACAAAAAAAGGAAAAGAATTTATTGTAAAAAGAGTAATGGGTAAATGGGTCTATTAAAACTATGGTAATTGGGTCAAATCTCTTGCGCAGGGGAAACATAAAGATTCAAATGAGACAGACACCAGTGGAAGTGGCAAGTGAGTACATATAGTGAAGGTGGGACTTTAAAGGTTTACATTACCTTTCCATAGCCATTATGGACTTCTGCGCTGAATTAGGGGTGTCTTAGGGTGTTGCTTTGTTTTTAGGCAGAAATTTAATGGGAAGTTTGCAGAGCCTATATGGTCTTCCTCACTAAATTGGGATATTGATTCCCTCAAGCCACATTGTTCTCACTTAGTACAACTGACGATGTTACAAGTAGGACTCATGGTCAACCTATTTAAGGGTAAGCAATAACCTTTTACCATAGGAAATGCTGGGAAATACCCAAATCATTACAGTAAAGTAAATTCTAACCAGTCAGTTATAACTAAAGAGGAAAAAAATTAAACTTTATTTAATTTGGGTGGGGGAGTTTGTAATGATGGGATTTCCCAGAGGGGGTTCCTTGATATGACACAAGAGGGTCAAGGGAAGTCAAGCAAGTAGAACCCAATTGGGAAATACTTGCAAATTCCATGTTTAACTGAACTTATGAAATGCGACCACCCATGGAAAGGAAGGAAGGTTTGAAGATGAGAGAGAGATCGAGTCAGTGTGTGTTTGACTCTACAAGAGGAAGGTTGCCTTCTTCAAGTGACTGGTAAACCTGTAATTGTTGGAGAACAGAACAAAGACAGAGAACGCATGGCAATGACAGAAGAGGAATGATTCTGATTTGTATCATTGAGCAATTGTGAATCTTTATGGCAGCTTGTTCCTGGTGCACTATCTCAGCGTATGTGAAACGTAAGGACCAAAAGGTAACTGAATGTTATCATTCAGTTGTGTACCAGCTGTGACAGTGTTCGTGAGGGAGTCTGAACATGATGAGTGAGAACACCAGACAACGACCAGACGACACCTTGGTTGTACAACAATAAACTGTGTTTACATACCACCATAGTGTTATATATATCTGTCAATCTATTCATAACCAGCATCATTGCAGTTTGGCTACTGAATTTAATTTTAATCTTTGCCTCCTTCAGGATGCTGTGGCCAAAAGAAACAAACTGCAGTCACAGAATTTCACAGTTCAGAACAAGCTCTTTGACTACTTCAGGAGAAAGAAATCTGATGAAGTTGTGGACCCTGACAAAAATGTTAGTGAATATGAACAGAGATACCTCAAGTTAATGGGTAAGTCTGTAGATATATATATATATATATATATGTATATCTGTACATGTGTATACACATGCCTGTCTGTCTGAGTTGTTCATATTGTCATTGTAACATGTCTGAGAAATATCTGATATAAGCACAGCTCCTGAAGTTACTCCATCAAAAGGTTAAAGCCGAGACTTCATTGCACTAGCTTTTCTCCTGTATAGCTCAATCTCTATCTGCTAAATGGCTAGCACAAACACTGGCGATGATCCCCAAATATTTGTAAAGACTGAACTCGTGAACTGAACAGCACTGTCATGAAATGAACCCATGACTTCCACAAGGTGGGGTAAAGCTCTTGACCACTTTATCCTGGAGACCCCACATGATCCTCATGAGTTGGCTCATGAAAAGAAGAATAAAGGTCTAGAGAATGAGGCACATCGATATAGAGGGAAATGGTGCAGAGGGGAATGGTACTGAGGGGAATGGTACTGAGAGATGTAGAGTGGAATGGTGCAAGGTAAATGGTGCAGAGGGGAATGGTGCAGAGGGGAATGGTACTGAGGGGAATGGTATAGAGGGGAATGGTACTGAGGGGAATGGTATAGAGGGGAATGGTGCAAGGTAAATGGTGCAGAGGGGAATGGTACTGAGGGGAATGGTATAGAGGGGAATGGTACTGAGGGGAATGGTATAGAGGGGAATGGTGCAAGGTAAATGGTGCAAAGGGGAATGGTACTGAGGGGAATGGTCAGAGGGGAATGGTACTGAGGGGAATGGTGCAGACAGATGTAGAGTGGAATGGTGCAAAGGAAATGGTGCAGAGGGGAATGATCAGAGGGGAATGGTGCAGAGAGAAATGGTGTAGAGGAGAATGATCAGAGGGGAATAGTACTGAGGGGAATGGTCAGAGGGGAATGGTGCAGAGAGATGTAGAGGGGAATGATCAGAGGGGAATGGTGCAGAGAGATGTAGAGGGGAATGGTGCAGAGAGAAATGGTGTAGAGGGGAATGATCAGAGGGGAATGGTGCAGAGAGAAATGGTGTAGAGGGGAATGATCAGAAGGGAATAGTATTGAGGGGAATGGTCAGAGGGGAATGGTGCAGAGAGATGTAGAGGGGAATGGTGCAGACAGATGTAGAGGGGAATGATGCAGACAGATGTAGAGGGTAATGGTGCAGACAGATGTAGAGGGGAATGGTGCAGACAGATGTAGAGGGGAATGGTGCAGACAGATGTAGAGGGGAATGGTGCAAGGGAAAGGGTGCCATAATGATCTAGTGCCTTTATTAAAACTCTCATAGTTAGAAATGCCTAAGGTGTGTGTGAATAATGCTGACAACTTCTGTTATGGATGTGGTAAAGTGATATCTCTCTCACAAAAACAAAATATAACTAACATGACTAAAAATGCAGTTTGTATTTTGGCTGCACAATAGGAGCTCAAGATAAGAGCTGAGTGCCACATATATGCTGCAGTTTGTGCGCAGCAAATACTATACTTATGTCTTTTGCAGTCCCAATGATTTGGAGAGAGCCTACTGATCATCTCAACAATGGTTATTTTTGCATGGTCCGTCCAATTGGGAAAGGCATATCAAATAGTAAGAAATGGACTCTGGAGTATCCAAACATCCTCGCTGCAATACGTCCGGTACCAAATGGTAATGACCTTCCAGTACCCAAAGTACCAGAATTATTTTGAACTGCTTCCACTGACGAAGAAGACGACATTGGTAGCCTGGAACTACCAGCCTCAAGCCACCCAGATTTTGAGCAAACAACAACCACTAAACCACACTTAATAATGAAAAGTAAACTGAATGATCTTGTAAGAGATTTGAATTTACAGAAGAACGAAGCAGAGCTTTTGGATTATGTATTGGAAAAATATAAAACTGAATGAAAAGTATATCAGCCAATTCAACAATATAACAAACACACACAAAACATGAATGTTGCGGCTATAGAGCCTTCATCCACACATACATAAATTATTTTTTTTTTAACACACAAATACACAGAATCACTTAACTCATGCGTCTAGATGCAGCCAGGTTGATGTCTTGCCAATGCAATGAAAAGAACAAACTGAACTGGAGAATAAACACCCGTAGAATGCCAAGGGCCGTAAACGTGAGAATTTTAAATGAAACTGTTTTGACAGTTCAAGCCTTTGGGTGTTAAAGTTCACAGAGTGTAAATAAAGTGATTTTTAAGAGACTTGCAGACTTTGTCACTCGAGTGGCTAGATTTAATGGCTGTCACCTCTATGTTGGGGACACCTTTGTGATCCTGGGAACTGAAGTACAACAGTACTGGTTTCAGGGCACTGTTGTGCACATCCAAAAGATGTCTGAACCTGTCAGCCAGTCATAGACCTGTTTTACATTGTATTTCATGCCACATCTCTTGCAGTTGATGATGTAAATGACATTGTGTCTAGTGCAATAGAATGCTTCATGTATGTGGAAGGTGGCATTCAGAAATTCCAGACTGGTCCCCTAGACCACATATGGACAGGAAAGATATAAACCTGAATGAAAATTATATCGGCGAGCTTCATAATGTAAACAAACACAAACAAAATGTGAAAGTTGCGGCTATGTAGCCTTTATCAGCATATACACACATTAGATAATACTACACAAATACACAATATCACTTATCTTGGTATCTCAAAGCAGCCAGGTCGATGTCTAGCCAATAGACTGGCAGGACACATGGGAATGGGAAAAAAAATATCCCTGGGAAAGCTAAGGGCCAGAACTCGAGGATAAGATGAAACTGTGTAGGCAGTTCAGTCCCCTATAATACTGGATGAAGCTGTATTGGCAGTTAAGACCACAAAATTTCACATATGGACAAGTCTGTGGCAAGAGACCGTGCAGAAGTAGGTCTCAGATGCAGGACATAAGCGACTCTTGACTAGAATGTCTTTGAGGTTATGATCATGCCTGCAGGCCACCAGATTAGGTTCCAAGAAAATCGTCCTGATGGCAGGGTCAGCCCTAAGGATGGAGAGGTGCCTGAGGAAAATATGTTTGGGCATGGATGTTGTGAGGGTGGTAGGTAAATATGAGGATAGGTCTCTTGTGGTGAAGTTTAGGCTTGGAAACAAAAGTCTCAGTGAGATAGAAAGACCGTGCTTGGTGAAAGGTGGCAGATGAGACATGTTCAGGATATCCTCGAAGCCAAAAAGAAGTCTAGCATTTTTAAGGCCTTGTTGTGAAAGTTGTCGTTCTTCTGGCAAAGTCTGCAGAAGCATAGAAGCTGGAGAAAGGAATGGAGTCTATGTATGAAGAGGGATGAGAGGACATGTAGAGAAGAAAAGTGAGGGAATCGGTAGTCTCATAGTACACCGGGGGCTGAGGCCTTTAGTTCAAGATGACAGTGAGATCCAGAAAAATGCACAGACGAAGGTGAAAAGCAAGAAGTGCATTGGATGCTGGGATGGAAGTTGGAGATTGCAACAGTGGAATCTTCTGGCAGAAGTTGTTCGTATTTCTGTGTCTATGAACTGGCAGAAGCCAGTTCATTTTTTCCCCCCCAAAGAAGGTGACCTTTTTGCATGCCACAACATTTCTGGGCTAATGGCAGCCCTAAAAATTAATTACAAACTTTATCAAAGACTTGTAGAAAACAAATGCTTTCAAATATCTCATCAGAAAATGTCCAAGACTGAGTGAAGCTAATGTAAGAGAGGGAGTATTTGTTGGTCTTTAAATTTGAAAGCTTATTCATGATGAGAAGTTTCTTTGCGGGTTGCATGGCAAAGAAAAAGATGCAAGGCTAGCATTTAAGTCAGTGGTGGACAGTTTTCTTGAAAACAACAGACGTGATAATGTTATTGAGATTGTAGAAAATCTCCTTCTGAAATAGGAGAGTCTTGGCTGTAACTTGTCTTCGAAAATTTCTTTTCTTTATTCTCATCCGGATTTCTTTACATCAAGCTGTGGAGCTGTCAGTGATGAATATGGTGAATGATTTCATCAGGACATTGCTGCTGTGGAGACAAGATATTGAGGCAACTGCAGCTCTTCAATACTTGTTGATTACTGCTGGACTGTGAAAAGAGACACCTCATCCATTGACTGCAGCGGCTAACAGCATCTGAATAATGACGGGAAAAGTTCAAATGTTTTTTCTTTTTTAAAAACATAATATGTGAACTGTAAATATTTTTGTTAATTTATTGTTTCTATCATTTTACGTTAAAATTTTTATTAACTGGGTATTCAACAACAATTTTTATAAAGCTAAAATAGAAAAACTAACTGTCCACTCAAGGGATTTAAAAATCAGACATTATTTGTATGACTGAATGTCAAAACCATGTCATGTGGCAGCGCATACCATAGAGATGATGTACTGTGTATATAGGCATGATGGAGAGTTGATGGACAGGTCAGCAAGATGGAATCATGACTGTCCATGTATGTGCTGGCATGGCCAATTAAAAATATTGCTCAGTGACACTGCAATGTAAATTCACCATTTAAAACAAAAGTAGAGCCAGTTGTTAAATTTCGCCATGATATGTGAAATAAGCATATAAAAATAAATTCTGGCACCCAAAAAAACTTTTTAAAATTTGTTGACCAGTGGAATTAAGTTATTTGAGTCAACGCGCGTGCAAACAAACACACACACATACAAACACATACACACACACGCACACACATTTAAAAATTGAAACAATTTAATAATTAATAATACATTGTAAAAGAATATAATATCTGCTTGTCTCCTGTTACCTGACTTGATTTCCTGTACCCATATATACTTGTCTACTGTCACATGATGGTATGTTTTTTGGTCTCTAGCACAGATGGAAGATTTGAGAAAGTTGGATTCCATCAAAAGAGATAACTACCATGTTGTCATTCAGGAGACAAAAGAAAGATGTATGGAGAAGAAGTCCAGGGCTGATTCAGAAAGGAAACATTTTATTGAGTTGAAGCAAAATGTTGCTCTCCGTGCTATAAATAGTCAAACTGGGCAACCACTGCCTGCTACAGTAAGTTCATTGCATTTTGTATTTCCACCTAGAAGACACATGACAACCCAACCATTTAGGCAGTGTCAGATTTGCATATAAGCTCACCAAGTTATAGTTTAGGGCCTCTGCAAGGGTCTAAAAACTTTCTATTTGCTTTCACAAAGGACTGTTATATGATAATAAAATGAATATGACTGGTAAAAACAATAGAATGCCAAAAAAAAAAAAAAAGGCTTAAAGTTGAAAAAAACAAAAAGTTTTAAATTGTAACTTATAGCTCCTTAGAGGATTATATAATGTATTTCATTCTGCATTTTTTATTTCTTTTAATTAATATTACACTAAAGTATGTTACCATTATCCATCTATTGAAAAGACATATAAATGTTACAGTTTTCTGAGATTAGCTGGTGTAATTTGAAAAGATAGGGCCTCAGGGATTTAAATGTCATAGGGCTCATCAAGTCTAAATCCAGCCGTGCAGTTAGGCGATAAAATTCAATTAATGGCTAGATAAATGACATACTCTGTACTGAAATAGATCCTTGTCACACAGTATTCATGTTAGACTGGATCCTCATCACAATCAATCTGTGGTGGGGTTCGGTTCACATAATACTTACTTGTGATTGACTAGAATCATATCACACTGAATATCAGACTAAATTCATGTCAAACTCCTGTTGTTATAAACTGAATTCATGTCCCACTATGCTTGTAGTGACTGAATTCATGTCATACTCTACTTGTGGTGGATAGGATTCATGTCGCTCTGTAGTTGTGATGGACTGGATTCATATAACACAGTACTTATTATTGACTGGATTCATAAAACACTGAAAATAGAATAACCTGGATCCATGTCATACTCTACTTATGATAAACTGGATTCATGTCACCCTGTACTTGTGATGGATAGGTTCATGTCACCCTGTACTTGTGATGAATAGGTTCATGTCACCCTGTACTTGTGATAGATAGGTTCATGTCACCCTGTACTTGTGATAGATAGGTTCATGTCACCCTATACTTGTGATAGATAGGTTCATGTCACCCTGTACTTGTGATGGATAGTTTATGTTACACTGTACTTGTGATATATAGGTTCATGTTACCCTGTACTTGTGATGGATAGGTTCATGTCACCCTGTACTTGTGATGAATAGGTTCATGTCACCCTGTAATTGTGATGGATAGGATTCATGTCGCTCTGTACTTGTGGTGGATATGATTCATGTCGCTCTGTACTTGTGATGGATAGGATTCATGTCACTCTGTACTTGTGATGGATAGGATTCATGTCGCTCTGTACTTGTGGTGGATAGGATTCATGTCGCTCTGTACTTGTGATGGATAGGATTCATGTCACTCTGTACTTGTGATGGATAGGATTCATGTCGCTCTGTACTTGTGATGTATAGGTTTATGTAACCCTGTGCTTGTGATAGATAGGTTCATGTCACCCTGTACTTGTAATGGATAGGTTCATGTCACCCTGTACTTGTGATAGATAGGTTCATGTCACCCTATACTTGTGATAGATAGGTTCATGTCACCCTATACTTGTGATAGATAGTTTCATGTTACCCTGTACTTGTGATAGATAGGTTCATGTCACCCTGTACTTGTGATAGATAGGTTTATGTCACACTGTACTTGTGATGGATAGGTTTATGTCACACTGTACTTGTGATAGATAGGTTCATGTCACCCTGTACTTGTGATGGATATATTTATGTCACCCTGTACTTGTGGTGGATAGGTTCATGTCACCCTGTGCTTGTGGTGGATAGGATTCATGTCGCTCTGTACTTGTGGTGGATAGGATTCATGTCGCTCTGTACTTGTGATGGATAGGATTCATGTCGCTCTGTACTTGTGGTGGATAGGATTCATGTCCCTCTGTACTTGTGGTGGATAGGATTGATATAACACAGTACTTATTACTGACTGGATTCATATAACACTGTAATTAGGATAACCTGGATCCATGTCGAACTCTACTTATGATAAACTGGATTCATGTCAGATAGATAGGTTCATGTCACCCTGTACTTGTTATAGATAGGTTCATGTCACCCTGTACTTGTGATGTATAGGTTCATGTCACCCTTTACTTGTGATAGATAGGTTCATGCCATACAGTACTTGTGATGGATAGGATTTATGTCGCTCTGTACTTGTGATGGATAGGATTCATGTCGCTCTGTACTTGTGGTGGATAGGTTTATGTCACCCTGTACTTTTGATAGATAGGTTCATGTCACACTGTACTTGTGATGGATAGGTTTATGTCACACTGTACTTGTGATAGATAGGTTCATGTCACCCTGTACTTGTGATGGATATGTTCATGTCACCCTGTACTTGTGATGGATAGGTTCATGTCACCCTGTGCTTGTGGTGGATAGGATTCGTGTCGCTCTGTACTTGTGGTGGATAGGATTCATGTCGCTCTGTACTTGTGATGGATGGGATTCATGTCGCTCTGTACTTGTGATGGATAGGATTCATGTCGCTCTGTACTTGTGGTGGATAGGATTCATGTCGCTCTGTACTTAGGGTGGATAGGATTGATATAACACAGTACTTATTACTGACTGGATTCATATAACACTGTAATTAGGATAACCTGGATCCATTTCGAACTCTACTTATCATAAACTGGATTCATGTCAGATAGATAGGTTCATGTCACCCTGTACTTGTGATGGATAGGTTCATGTCACCCTGTGCTTGTAATGGATAGGCTCATGTCACCCTGTACTTGTGATGCATAGGTTCATGTCACCCTGTACTTGTGATGGATAGGATTCATGTCATACTAAGCATGAAATAAACTGAATTCTTGTAACACTTTTTTTTTTTGTAGACCGAATTCATTTCATACTGAACTTATGATAGAATGCATTCTCGACACACTATACTTGCGATGGATATGATTGATGTTACACTTTACTTATAATATACTGGATTTATGTCATACTGTTGATAGGATTCATGTAATACTGTGCTTGTGATGGCTAGGATTCATGTCACACTGTACCTTTGATGAATAGGATTCATGTAATACTGTGCTTGTGATGGATAGGATTCATATTATACTGTACTTGTGATGGATAGGTTCATGTCACCCTTTACTTGTGATGGATAGGTTCATGTCACCCTGTAATTGTGATGGATAGGATTCATGTCGCTCTGTACTTGTGGTGGATATGATTCATGTCGCTCTGTACTTGTGATGGATAGGATTCATGTCACTCTGTACTTGTGATGGATAGGATTCATGTCGCTCTGTACTTGTGGTGGATAGGATTCATGTCGCTCTGTACTTGTGATGGATAGGATTCATGTCACTCTGTACTTGTGATGGATAGGATTCATGTCGCTCTGTACTTGTGATGTATAGGTTTATGTAACCCTGTGCTTGTGATAGATAGGTTCATGTCACCCTGTACTTGTAATGGATAGGTTCATGTCACCCTGTACTTGTGATAGATAGGTTCATGTCACCCTATACTTGTGATAGATAGGTTCATGTCACCCTATACTTGTGATAGATAGTTTCATGTTACCCTGTACTTGTGATAGATAGGTTCATGTCACCCTGTACTTGTGATAGATAGGTTCATGTCACCCTGTACTTGTGATGGATATATTTATGTCACCCTGTACTTGTGGTGGATAGGTTCATGTCACCCTGTGCTTGTGGTGGATAGGATTCATGTCGCTCTGTACTTGTGGTGGATAGGATTCATGTCGCTCTGTACTTGTGATGGATAGGATTCATGTCGCTCTGTACTTGTGGTGGATAGGATTCATGTCGCTCTGTACTTGTGGTGGATAGGATTGATATAACACAGTACTTATTACTGACTGGATTCATATAACACTGTAATTAGGATAACCTGGATCCATGTCGAACTCTACTTATGATAAACTGGATTCATGTCAGATAGATAGGTTCATGTCACCCTGTACTTGTGATGTATAGGTTCATGTCACCCTTTACTTGTGATAGATAGGTTCATGCCATACAGTACTTGTGATGGATAGGATTTATGTCGCTCTGTACTTGTGATGGATAGGATTCATGTCGCTCTGTACTTGTGGTGGATAGGTTCATGTCACCCTGTACTTTTGATAGATAGGTTCATGTCACACTGTACTTGTGATGGATAGGTTTATGTCACACTGTACTTGTGATAGATAGGTTCATGTCACCCTGTACTTGTGATGGATATGTTCATGTCACCCTGTACTTGTGATGGATAGGTTCATGTCACCCTGTGCTTGTGGTGGATAGGATTCATGTCGCTCTGTACTTGTGGTGGATAGGATTCATGTCGCTCTGTACTTGTGATGGATAGGATTCATGTCGCTCTGTACTTGTGATGGATAGGATTCATGTCGCTCTGTACTTGTGGTGGATAGGATTCATGTCGCTCTGTACTTATGGTGGATAGGATTGATATAACACAGTACTTATTACTGACTGGATTCATATAACACTGTAATTAGGATAACCTGGATCCATTTCGAACTCTACTTATCATAAACTGGATTCATGTCAGATAGATAGGTTCATGTCACCCTGTACTTGTGATGGATAGGTTCATGTCACCCTGTGCTTGTAATGGATAGGCTCATGTCACCCTGTACTTGTGATGCATAGGTTCATGTCACCCTGTACTTGTGATGGATAGGATTCATGTCATACTAAGCATGAAATAAACTGAATTCTTGTAACACTTTTTTTTTTTTTTGTAGACCGAATTCATTTCATACTGAACTTATGATAGAATGCATTCTCGACACACTATACTTGCGATGGATATGATTGATGTTACACTTTACTTATAATATACTGGATTTATATCATACTGTTGATAGGATTCATGTAATACTGTGCTTGTGATGGCTAGGATTCATGTCACACTGTACCTTTGATGAATAGGATTCATGTCTTACTGTACTTGTGATGGATAGGATTCATGTAATACTGTGCTTGTGATGGA